TCCTGTTAGCAGTTAGTCTGTGTAGTTGATTGTGGAGATCATGCTGCTGATTTCCGGGTTGCTTAGTTAGTGGTGAAAGCCAGAACTGTTGGCTAAATCCCACGGTGTATTTAAGAGTTGCAGTTGCACTCTAATGAAGTTTGTCAGTTTGCAAAGCTTTGTTTTTCACAGTTGTTTGTATGCTCTAGATTGGTGTTTTTTGTATGATTAATTCGTATGAGAAAATTGAGGTTAAACTTTTATTTTGAAAGAAACTTGTTATTGTAAAATTTTTTACCACAAAAACCCACGGGTACCCATGAACCCGCAGATACCCAGCGAGTTGGGTTGGGTTTGCGTTTTTCAAACCCAATGGATTTTACCCCGGGTTTTTTTAGCGGATAAACCCATGGGTTTGGGTTTGGGAAAATCCGCCCCAACCCGACCCATTGTCATCCATACACGTAATCCCTCGTGAGTCGTGTCCATTAGTTTAGTACGTATATAACCAAGAGGACTAGAAATAGGAAGGAGCTTTACGCTAGACTATGCAAAGTTTGACCCAATATGTTAGTCCATATGAGTGGGACTCTGTCTAGGTCCAAAATGAGCCCATCTTGTTCGGATTATAGCCCATTTGTTGGGATACTCATTTAGGTCCAACATCCGTGTCTCTAATCAAGACTATTAATAATACGTTTTCAAGTATCTAGATATCTCCATTTGAATTTTCCGGCCCTGGGAGCGTTTGTCGGAAGGCCATTTCAGTAACTTCCCCAAGTGCCATTCCTCACCGTCGTTTCACACTCAAAACCGGCAGCACGGTGCGTCTCGGATTAATTTGTATCAATGAATCGTTACTATTTTAGTTTTGATTTAATTATTTTCTTCCCTTTGGGTTTTTCCCTGTCGTCGACTGAACTGAATCCCTAAACCGATTCCATCCGAGGAAATTCAGAAGCTTCTCCCATCGAATTATCCTTAGCTTCCTTGACTCAATTCCTCCGCCGCACATCATCCTAATCCATCCTTCGCCCGCTCAGATCCTTGATACCACACCGAAGAATTCACCGCCCAAAGATTTCAGATTCTCTGTAGCTATCCCCACCGCCTTCGAATCGTGAACGCCATCGTCGTACCCGCAATACTAATTGTGCACAGGACCTCCACCGAATATGAAGCATATGGAATTGAGTATGCATGTAAATTTGATTCTCCAAGCAATTTAGAGTTTGGTGGTTGTGCGGTGATTAAATTTTCCATGCTTTTGGGAGGGCAATTACAGGGTTAGTGGTCCATAGTTTGAGGATTTAGGATTAACAATTACATCCCATGGAAATTCTCATGTATGTTATAAGATTGACAAGGAGTTTCCGATGGTGTGAGAATTGAAATTTGTCTTCTTTGAACTCTTGCTATTTGCGTATTTAATTCACACGACAAGGGTTTTTGACAACTGAATATAAGATTGACAAGGAAGTTCCTCGGTTGTTGAGTGCATAAGATTGTAGAACCTAAGTTTAGTACTACATTTCTAGGTAGAAGAAATTGAATATTTTAAGTCTAATCCAACTCTAACTACGCGAGAATACAAAATACTTATCAAAAGTCTGATATACGAATCGTATTCTACTTTGTAGATAGTAAGCACAACTAGAAGTTAAAGAATTACTAGGTGCAATTCTAAATTCTAATGGTTTAATGGTTTTGATTACCAACCGAACTTGATCGTTCTGGTAGGATTTGGTTCAAACTTCTGATAGAGCATACAAAGGCTGCAGTAAAAGTTGGGTTGGTGCATGAAAAAATTAAATTCAATGTTGAAAAACCTTTTACTGAATACTTAACAGTCTTGATTCTTCACATCCCATTGAGGTACAAATTATCTTCGACGCTTGCTTTTACAGTCCTATGTTGTTAATCGCTCAATCTTATTTATACCTAATATTACTTTTCCAACGCAACTGTTGGACATGAAAAAATCAATTTTTATTTGCACCAAACTTCATCACCAATATAGTAGTGATTCAATTGGAGCTGATCTAATGAAGTAGACGCATGATCTCCTCTAATTTTACCGTCAATAAATTTCACTGAGGATTAGATGAATGGATTATTAATAGATGACATTGTTTGACTTTATACTTTATAGTTACTTAGTTAGAATCATTCCCACATGATAAATTTGTTGATTGATAGGTGTAATTTTGTTAGACTACAAATTATTGAGCAACTTAAAGAAACACAAAGAATAAATAAAAATATTGTAGAACACACTTTTTTTCTTCTACAAAACAATATTTATTTTCACTTTTTTTATCGTGGAATTCTTTTCATATACTGAATTCAAGTAAACTGTATAATTTTCGTGACAAAGCAACGAGAAGCTCAGGTTTTGCGATTGATATTTGATATGTGGCTAATGGTCATTGTATTATTTGTTATGTGCACTTGATGGTAGTAATAAGTCGACTTCTACATAAACATAGCAATAACGTGACCTCAACATTGTTTCCTCAAAATTTAGTATTTGCGTCCCAGCCAACAGGCCATATAATAGTGGGGCAAAAGTCTTCCTTTGTGCGCATTTCATTCGTATGACAAACACATGTTGCTGATCTTCTTCATATTCATACATAATTTCCGAAATCATTTTTTCTTTTTCAGTTGTTGAGAAGAATTGGTTTAATTTTACAATACTTATATGTATAATTACATTAGCTAGATCTAGCTTTCTACTATATAAGTATTGTAAAACACATGTTGTCAACAACCAGTTGGTCCCAGTAACTCGAGTATACCACTCTCTAACACGCCCCCTCAAACGAAAGCCAACTCATGGGCTTGAAGTTTGCACAGGCCCACCATACCATGTGCTTGAAAGACAACAGTTAATATTGGGGGTCGTGGAGATTCGAACACATGACCTTTCGGTTCTAGGCTCTGATACCATGTCAACAACCAGTTGGTCCCAATAACTCGAGTTGTTGGGAGAAGGTTTTGCTGGATCTTATACCACTCTCTAACAATGTTGCCATAGTTTAGGCCAGAATAGCAATTTCCGATATCACGGACCAAAGTAGAAAGTTTGTATATAGTTCGGGCCAAACTAAGGTATTAACTCATTGAACAATGACAACGACTTGATGGAGGAGAAGCAACATCGATCATGATGATATATAGCTAAATGTGGGAATGCTATAGCTGGAAGGGAAGGGATCGATTTCGAAGAGAGAAGGGAACAAATGTTTTGTGTGTAGGGGGTGGGTTGAGCAAAGATGCATGAATAGTTTTAGTTAGTTCTCATTTTTCTGAAATTATTAATTGAAAAATAATTAAATTTGGGGAAATAATTTTGTCTAATATGGCGGACACGTGGCAACCACGTCAGCAAGCTTAACTGAGTCATCAATGATTAAATTAGTTGGTCGTAAGTTTTGACAATTAATCAAAAATCGAGCTAAGATTGTCCATTATAATTAAAGTTGAGACCATTATTCTTATTATTAAAAGTTGGGACGTTGTTTGTGTGCAGGGGGTGGATTAAACAAAGATGCGTGAATTGTTTTAGTTGTTTTTTCCTTTAACCACATCAGCAAGCTTTACTGATTCATCAACGGTTAAATTAGTGGGTACATCATTTTTAGTTGGTATGGGTAAAACTCAAATTCAAATATTATAGATAATAAGTGGAAATAATTTGATCACTATCCAACCTGACCTGAATCCGCCCAATTATATACATGTATATTTATTTTGTCTAGAACTAATAATTATTTTTCTTTAACATATATTATATTTAACATATAAATATAATATTTTCATCAAATTGTGTTGTATTTGAAAATCAATCAAATATCGAGCTGAGATTGTCCATTATTACAATTTTTAGGTAGAAAGCCTTTTGCAGCTACACTCTATAATTCTATTAGTATCATTTAGCTTATGAACATGTGGTTGTTTACAAATTCTACTTTTCTATAATTCAACATGACGAGAAATTTTCAAAATTTATTATTCTATCATAATTTAAAGAAATCGTTTGCTTGCAATTAGAGGTGGCAATTGGATCGGATTCGTGGATTCCTGGATTGGATTGGTGGATCCATGGACCAAATGGATTGAATCAAATGGATTGATGGATTGATCCATGAATCTAAATGACATACAAGGCTTGGACCAAAAATGTCAATTTTGAAAAGTTTAGGTACTAAAATGCCATATTGAAAAATATTAGGTACCAAAATGTAATTTTTCAATGATTTGTTCGTATAAAAATATAAATTTTAGGCATCAAAATGTAAAATATAAAAAATATAGGTACCAAATCGTAATTAGCCATTTGGATTCATGGATTGATCCATGAATCTACCAATCTAATTGGATTTGGATCAAATGGATTGGATTTAAATGGATTGGATTAGGTGGATAATTTGGTGGATGGATTGAATTGGATTGGATTAATGGATTTGGATCCTAATTGCCACCTCTACTTGCAATCGTTGTGATACAACATAAAACATTAAAACCTACCCGGCCAACGGGCCGGGCCATCATCTAGTTGAGTAATTATTGGTGTAGCTTAGTGCAATCACCCATGAGGAGAAATGGAAAAACGAAATCCCCAAGTTTAAGTACTTGTATACTTGAGTTTTAATTAGAAAACATAAGATAAGAATTTTATCTATTAGAATTATTACTTAATTAAAAGGTTTATGGAAGAAAGAAAATAGGTTAATGTCTATTTTTTTATTCAATTTTTTTTCAAATTCTTTTATATTATCCAAATCTATTAAAATTCTATTAATTAGCCAAATCTATCATAATGCATCAAAATATTAGCCATTTTTACATTATTGTTAATAATTTTGTAACTCTTTTCTTAATTAAAATACTAAAATTTTGGAATGTTGACCTTCATGTCTCTTCCAAGTCAGTATTATGTTGCCAAGTCAATATTGCTAACAAAATTGCTAACTGAAAGTTAATATTTGGTTAATTCTTAGTATTTCGATAAGTTTGCATAATATAAAAGAAGCTGGAAATTTTTTGGTTAAAAAATAGACATTATCCAAGAAAAAAAAAGTAGTTATAGAAAAGTGCGAGCTCGAAAGCGACGAGACTTAAATTATGGGTAACAAACTCAAAAGTCAAAACAACATTAACAACGAAATCTCCTTTGTGTTTCATTTCTTAACCAAAAGCACCCTTAGGCCTTAGCTACCTCTACCCGTGCACCAATCATCATCACTCATACTGCGACGGGTTCGGCAGCCTCGGCACAGGAATCGCAACGAGAGGCGACTTCAGCTTCAGCACGATCCCGAACTTCTCCGTGAGATCCACGCTCTTCTTCCCCTCGGGCAGCTTCCAGTCGAAGGAATGCAAGAACGTGGCGAGCGAGAACAGGAACATCCTCTCCGCCATCGCGATCCCAGCACATATCCTCCTTCCAGACCCGAACGGGAAGTAGCTCAAATCATTCCCGCTGTAGTCCCATCTCGACTCGTCCAAGAACCTCTCTGGCTTGAACTCCAGGGGATCCTCCCAGATGGAAGGATCCCTATGGATCGCCCAGACATTCACGAAGATTCGCGATCCCTTAGGGATCGAGTAGCCCGCCACCACGGTGTCCTCGCTCGGGCAGTGAGGGACGAGCAATGGGAGGGCCGGGTGGAGTCTGAGCGATTCTTTCATGACGCAGTTCAGGTATGGAAGCTTGTGGATGTGGGATTCTTCCACTATGTTTTCCCTCCCAACCACTTCGTCCAGCTCTTGTTGTGCCCTCTCGAGGACTCGTGGGTTGTTGATCACTTCCGCCATTGCGAATTCGATTGAGTTGGCGGATGTGTCTGTGCCGCCCACGATCATGTCCTGTTTGGTTACAAACACAAGCAAAACAGAGACAGCGCTGTAAGTGTTGGAACAAGAAACATATGTTGTTTGTCACGTGAGTGTTTGGTTGAGTTATCTAGTTAGATTCGTCGTCGTTTGGGGGTTAGCATAGATAAGTTACAGCAAGCAATCGTGTTGGGGGTTAGCATAGATAAGTTACAGCAAGCAATCGTGTAAGCTTGCTGAGTCACATTCTGTTAGGAGTTTAGTTAGTAAGTGGCGTTTCTTAAGGGTAGTGGGCGGTAGATATGGGTAGGGCTGAAAATTTGCCTGTCCCGTCCCTATCCTTGTCTGACCCGTCCCTGAAGGGTCAAGATGTATAACCGTCCCGTCCCTGTCTCTTTTTTGACTCTGTCTAACCCTCAAGGGTTTGGACGCGACGGGACGGGCCGGGTCAGTGGGTCGACCCTAATCAACACACTACTATTTTACAAATTACGTTTTGGTACCCAAAATTATTTTTTCTTACAATTTAGTACCCAATTTTTTTTTTTACAAATTAGTACCTTAACTTTTAAAACTTTACAAAAAGTCCAATGAAGTATGAGATATTTGTTCTTACTAAGGGTCACAGGGTCAAAACGTGACCCGTCCCTAAGTTGTCCCGATCCGTCCCGACCCTTACAGGGTCAACAAATGACCCGTCCCTAATCTGTTCCTGTAGACAAATTGACCCGTCCCGACCTTTAGGGACGGGACGGGACGAGTCAGTGGGTCTTCCGGGACAAGCTTTCACCCCTAGATATGGGACTCTGTTTTTCCAGCAAATAGTTGATTAGGGTCTGATGTATTTAAACCCTTTTTCTACATTCAATAAAATTGGTCAGTTTGTCTTCAACGAGAGCCTTCAGTAAGATCAAGTCAACTATATAGTGAAAGGTTTCAGCCGACCGATAGAGAATCATCAAAGATTTGTTATGCCAACTAATGGCCCCGCCATGAATTTGTTCATCCACTCATAGGGTCAGTGTTGTCTTGATTGATGCCGATCAAATCAAGAACTAGTCACAATTTATCATGATCACATAAGAACCTTTATATATTTTATTGTTTCAAACTAATGGCCAACCATCTTATGTCCTGACCGGAGCAAAAAAATCTTAACGAGGGGGAGTTGATTTAAATTGTGGTAATTGAAGGTGGGAGAATGTTTTCTGACGAGGAAACTCTTGTGTTGATATTAATGATTTGCACTTTTAATTTTTTGAACAATAACATAGTTCGCATCTTTCTAAATAATGTTCGAATGAGGGTGTTTGAGGACTTTGATGGATAAGAACACTAAATTACGTTACTCTACTCATATTTAAGTTCAGCGAGAGATCCAAAAACTAAAAACTATAGCTATGAATAAGGACTTGACTCACCAGTACTACCATCAATTCTGAACCTGAAGATCTCAAATTCGTTTAGTAGCACCTAAATGATATGAAAAATCAATTGGGGGGAAAAAATGTAAGCATACCATAAGAAGGGCTTTGACATGCGTCATGGTGAGAGGAGTCTTGGCATCGCCGCCTTCCTCTTTCACCAGCTTCAACAGAAACTCCAAGAAATCCGGCACGCCAGACGATTCCTTCCCTTCCCTTTCCATCTCCCCTCTCTTCTTGATAACCTCCTCATAAATCCGGTCGAAATTCATCCCGGCGACGTTCACCTTCCGGTTCAGCCCCTGCAGGTCAAACCGCGACAGGGCCGGGAAAAAATCCGACAAATTGGGCTGACCCAACAGCTCCGTAATCACCGAAACCAGCCGCCGGAACTCCGCACCCAGCCGCTCCCTCTCTTCCCCTGCCTCCACCGTCCCTCCCCACATCATGCTCGTCACCACGTTCATCACCGTCAGGAACATCTGCTCCCCGAAATTGACCGACCCGCCGGCCCGACCCGCCATGTACCCGACCGTCCGCCGGAGCTCGCGGCGGCGGAGCCCGTACACGGAATCGAGGGTGGTGTTGCTGAGCATCTTCAGCACGCAGACTTTCCGAAGCATCCGCCACTCGGCGCCGTACGGGGTCCACACGATGTCGGATCCGCCGTACGCGATGGCGCGTGCGACGTCGGGGACGTCACGATTGGCGAAGGTGACGTCCTGGTCCTTGAGGATTTCGCGGGCCACGGTCGGGGAAGAGACGACGATGCCGAGCTTGCGGCCCAGCTGGAGGCGGAGGATTGGGCCGTATTTCCGGGCCAGGGATCCGAAGTAGGAGTGGAGCTCCGGGTCGAGGGAGGCGAGGTTGCCCAGTATGGGTAAGGCGGGCGGACCGGGCGGGAGGGGCGGGTTCTTGCTGGCCGGGCGGGTGAACCGCCAGATCGCGGCGAGGAGGATCGCGGCGATGGCCGCGGTGAAGATGACGGTTGCTGGAATCATGATTGTGGTGGTGGTGGTGATAAAACGCCGGTGAGATTGTGGAGGAGAATTGATGGTAGAGCAGTTTCTGGTGCTTCATTTTTATGGAGTGGGACTGGGGGGACTAAATGACAAACAGGGATTTTTGTGGGCGAGGAATTCAATAGTTAATGACGGCAATGGAATCAAAAGACGGAGGGAGGACGGCAATAAGTGTATGGCACATCCTTTTCTTTTTTTTTTTGGGAGGATTAGATATTTAGGTTGTCGTTGGAAGTAGTACTCTAATTTTGTGGAGGAGGCCAGATGGCCAGTATGGCTGTATCAACTCTATATGTTTTTTTCTCTCTCTTTCAAATGGCCGGTATGACTTGAATCTGATTACGGACCAACCACAATAAATCGAATGAACTTGGAGAAAAATAAGTGAGCGCCCAACTTCGAATTCGATTCGGACCATTCAATATGTCAAAGGCTTGCTTGAAACTCCGGACCGGATAGGGTTCCGAAACTATGGAATGCGTGATTCACTGATGCAGCAATTGACATTAGGAACTTGGCCTGAGGCAAGACACAACATTTTGTTGGATTCTTAAGTGCTGGTATGGCAGGTAGCTAGTCTTTTCTAATAATACTAAGAAATTAATAATAAAGAAAATGGATGATCGGCTCTAACTAGAAGAAGAGATTCTCCGAAATGGAGATATTGTTTTTTTGGTGGGTTGGCAGGTGGTTATAGAGTTGACTTGATACTCTAATGTCTCAATCATTTTGTATTGGCTTTAATTTGTATTGAGTACAATCCATTTTCCAGATAATTTATCAAAACATAAAAAGAAAGGATACATTACGGCCTTGATTCAATGGCAGTATCGGTAAATAAATAACCATCGACTATAAATAGTTTCTTTTACTAATGTTTTAAAATCACTGATTGTTAGTGATCGATACTAGTATGCGTTTGTCTTGTCAGTTGTCACTTTTTGTTATCAATGATAACTAGGCCGGCTTCTAGCTATTGGCTTACGATTTACCAACTATAGGTAATTTTCACCTCAACTACACTTGTAACTTCTTGGTATTTTCCTTCTATGCTAAATTTGTATTTCAGTCTTCTAGCAGAGTTTTGTTATGGGTTAAATAACAAAACAGTCACTGAACGAACCATCAGGTTTGTAATGAAATTGTGTTACAAAACCCAAAACTGTGACAAATGCTAACCAAACTAACCGATTTGTAACTAACCGGCCACTTCATACGAGTTTGGCTCACCACCAGATAAAAAATTCATGTGTAAGCTGAAGAAAGCTTGTGAAGTTGTCAGTGTATTTACCACCAGAAGAAGATATCATAGGCTTACTACATCAAGCAACCGACGTATTGAGATCGAGTGTATTTCCTCTGTAGTTGGGGCCATTGCACAAAGAACTGATCAGCTATCCGCAGTTTGTAAAGCAGTAAACCGCTTAGAGACAGCTTCTTCACTCTAGCAATGCTCTCGATGTAAAATATAGTAGACCACCTAATCCCGACGACCTGCAATTAAAACCTCTGAATGAGTTACAAGGCAAGTTCCTATGAAGATCATGGAGTGGTCGAGCAGGAAAGAGAGAATTTTAACCTTGAACAGAAACGCAATCACACACAGGGGCACACACGTCCCAGGACCATTGCAGAGTATCTACAATTTCAAGAGTTCATGGAACGGAAGCTTAGTCTAGTTGTGCCTTTAGTGAGTTACAAAGGAAATTGAGTGCAAGGACAGGATAGGGGCAGAAAGTTTATACCACTTCCGGCCTGATTCTAAGCATTAACCATAACGCATGTGCAATGGCTATCAGGGTTGTCCCAATAGAGGTTATGTACGATTGACCGACTTCCCTGCTTCTGTATATCTGCATAAACTCTGCAGGTACCTTCTTGTCCTGATTATGGGGGAGGAATGATTCTTAGATCCAGTAATCAAAGGTAAAACCACATCAACACTAACAGTGAATAGGGACTATCATTTACTTCCTACTTATAGCTAGTTTCACAAAACCAGTTAACACCCTTGCCAAACGAGTAGGACAGCACTAATCTGTGGTGCAGAAGCAACACTTTAGTCAACCACAAATATGCACCATCGACAAGTCCCAGCAGGAGAAAATAATTTCACAATGGAACTTTTAGTGATTGATTCAACATTCAATATAGTCCCACATTACAGCTTCCTACTTAGCCTAAGATTAGCGGATACTGGAAGCAGGTTCTCTTATGAAGTGATGAACAATCAATCAAGTGAGACTAGGACAGTTGTTCATTTCAGTAAAATCAATTCGTCGCAGCACTCAAGAATCAAGCAAGAGGAAAAAAAATTAACTTAAGAAACTAACATACCTGATCAACTAATGAGTCCTCCAAGACTTGAGCTTTTTGCAGACTCATATTATCAGTGGCTGCAGCTATATAAAACCTAGGAGTGAACCTAGCTTTCTGCATCACGGACAGTACATTAATCATTTCTGCTGTATGCCCTCCTGCATTAACATAGAACAACACAAATTCCAACCTCACAAACTGAATCAACATTATTTCAAGAATTGATGAGCTAGCTCCATTACCTGATCCCAGAACGATCAAAGTACTCCGCGGCTTTGAAGATTTTGAGGACAAAGGCTTCCCAGTTCGATAAAAGACATAGACCACGCGAATCACAACGACCAGCAGGAATATCGTGATCATAGTTGCAATAGAGAAGCAACAATCATGTTCTTCCTCCATATCAAATGGAAGGAACAACCAATGACCTGGACCAGTGGTAATGGCAAACCTGTCGCCCAAGAGACACTAAAAAGCAAATTGATTTACCAAAAAATGAACTAAGCAAATTGGATTCGACAACATAATCATTCTCACATTGCAGCACACGGATAATTATGTTAAGCTAGATCAAGAATAGCAAATGCCTGACAGCACCCAGGCTCGACAGAGAAATTATCAGCTGAAACTCGACTGAAAATCAACTCCACAAAGTTAAGTTCGGAATTAGAAATTATACCTAAGGGGACCAAAAATGGATCGATCTCCTCTACTGAAGACAGAAGAGACGTTGGAAGGCGAAGGTGCGTAAGCGGAAGTGGAGTGCGACGGCAACGCCGTCGAGAGTAAGTGGCGAACGGTGAACGGACCTCTGTCTCAACCTCTATCCTCTTCTTTTTCCTAGACAAGATTTCGATGCGGACAGCCGGTGACGGCGCCGAATGGCAACTGTTAAGGATCTGATCGGCGTTAACTATTCAGAATTCTCTCTTCGCGATCTCCCTGCTCTCTTCTCCTCTATCTATCTCTACGTTGTTCCTAATCGAGCGCCACAAGAGAAAGTACACCGAATACAGAAACAGTCGGAAACAAATGCGCCCGGCCGGACGGCGACAGGAGAACGACAGCTGCTCTCCTCTCTCTCGTCCCCTATGTCAATCGCTCCGGGCCAGGGGTGAACAAACACACCCGCAAACCGACTCACCCGCCCAACCCGACCCAACCCACCCGTATTTATCGCTAAAACGAAGGTTTTGAGTTGGGTGAGGATTTTCTTTTGTACAACCCGCCTCTTTTGGGTTGGGTTTGGATTTTGGATTACACAACCCGTAGAACCCGACCCAACCCGTGTTCCAATTATTAGTATGAGTTCGTATAAAAAAAAAATATATTTATGTCGTATATAGTCATACTTATGAGAAAATTAAGATATTTTGCCATGTTATTCTCTTAAAGTCTCCCTAATCTAATACATTGTTCGGCTTAAAGTTTAGACATAAATTTAATATAGCTATGAATCACGTGATTTTTTTTCTTGTGTACAATTTTAATAGAATAACATATTTTGGATGCGTTCATTTGTAAACTTTTTAGCCTATTTCAACAAATGTCATGAAAAAAACTAGACATAAGTTGAAGTAAATCAAATTTTATTAAAATTCAAACAACATTTGTGAATTTTGATACCTTTCTCCTTGGTTTATTCGTTTGAATTTTTAATTAGTTATAAAATATTTTTATGATGTAGAATAATTACATATTTTGTGTTGGGTTGGGTTTTTACTTAAAAATATCGTCAACCCGATCCAACCCAATTAGAAACAAACCGCCGGGTTTAAATTTTTTTGGGTGGGTTTGGGTTTAATATTTCCCAAACCGTAGTGCATGGGTCGGGTGATTAAAACGTATAAACCCGGACCACCCGACCCATGTATACCCCTACGGGCCAGACCAATTCTTCGTTCTCTTCCGTTTTTCACTTTACCTTTCCTTTCTTTCTCTCTCTTGTCCCCTATGACAACTGCCGCCTGTATTTCATAATTCTTCCCTTTTAACCCACAGCAATTTTTATATTTTCCAATTGAGTCCATAATAAAACCAATGCAGTCCGTCGAATACTGTTTCTTTTTCTTACTATGTGCAGTCGAATTCTAGCGAAAATAAATAGCAAAATCTGAATATTTGGAAACTTCGTACAAGGAGTTTTTGGGTGTGGAATAAAATTCTTTTAGTCAGAAGTTTAGCTGCAGGGAAGTTGCAGACTACCAGAAGAAGAGTTCAATGGGAAGGCAAACAAATGTCAAGGTATAAGGTGATAACCAGAGGGAATAGTATGAGACCTTGTAGCTAGAAGGTTGCTTGGTCAAAGATGGTCGGGTCAAGACAGCAGATTCCCAGGAACTCCCTTCTAACCTGGTTGATTTTGATTGACAGAATCTCCATGTTTGATAAAATCGAACGATGGAACCCGGACATATCTAATACTCCTACACAGTGTAATCTGTCAACTGAATCCAGGGAACATATCTTCTTTACTTACGAGCACACTAAGCAAATTATGCAGATAGTTCTTCCCCTGAAGCTAGTTAGCAGGTTGAGGGGTCAGTGGCAGGCTGGTGTTAGTAAAATGATTCAAAGTCTGCAGAACTGTGAAGTGAGGAGATAGGCGTGGAATCTGATGATGAGTGAGTGAGATATGGTGCGAGAGGTGTCAAAGAGTCTATGGAAATAAGCTTATGGGAGTTGATGAGCTGGTGGTAAAGATGAAGACAATTGTAGAAGTCAAGATGGAGGGCTGCCCCACTTTTGCAACAGCAGCTCATAGGAAACCATTCTGGTTATTAGTAGTTAGTAGGAACCACTGATGGTTGATTAGTAAGTCGCTAGGTTGCCTGTAAAGTTTTTGAGTTGGTGATTCTTTGTAAGTTTGGCTTATTTGTTGATCTTTAGAGAATGAGTCTGTAGAAAGTGAAACAGCTAAAATCGATAGTATGTGATTAATGAGTCTCTTATTCGTAAGAAAAAAAAAGTCGTACATTTGAATAATCGAGTAAAAATGGCGATGGAACTCATATCGCAATGATCATCAATCAATATAGTGTCACCATCTTACTCTTACAGTTCAAGAACCAAACTGAGAAGATTCACCATTTGCCAGGCATCCACCCCTGCCATGCCATAGAACCAGACGATATCTCTAGGTGCTGCAGAAGGTGGGAACATCAATCGACATAACTAGTGTCCAAACATGAATGACAAGAACTCGGGCAAGATACAAAGTTCAATGTAGCGAAACAAAATCATAGACAGCTCGATCAAGATACCAAAATCAACATTTAGTGGCGCAACGAACGAATGTTTAGGCTTCAATTCCTCAAGCCTATCAAGTCCTTCAATATCCAAAAACCGTGAGACAAACATCTAACGAAAACTCGAGATGGCAATCGAAGGCTCCCATCCCGACATACATTTCCAAAAATGGTAACCTAGGGATCAATGATCAGATTATTTTTCACTGTCTCGTTCTGGCAATTAGCTCCCGAATTCTCTGTATACTACTCCGAGGATGTCTCTCCATCAGGTAAACACGCACTCACTTATCTCCAGATCCTGCTTGCTGCTTTACTCTCTGGACGCATTCGTAGTAGCTCTTGGTCAGAGGGCTGCACTTAAGGATATCGTTAATATGCTCCTTGTAGCACGCCCTGCAAGCTTCATAGTCAGGCATGCATGGCATTGGCTTCTGGTACGGGAGCTTGAATTCCTTGCCGTGCAGATCTTTGGCTCTTTCAGTTACTTCTTGCACCATGCGTTCCTCCTGCTTCTGCAACTTCTCAAGAACCTTCTCGCTCTCTGAAACCACAGATCGAATTGCATCCAGTTCAGCACTTGCAGGCTTGACAGGTGGTTGAACCGGCAAGAAAACTGGCCATCCGGAAGAAGCCGGTGGCTGCAGCTGCTTCTCGCTCTCCTTTGGTTGAGGTGGCGAGCGAGGCTGTTTTGATACCTTGGGTTTCGGTTTCCTTACTGTTCTCTTCTTTACTTTCTCGTCAGAACCAGCAAGCCGATCTACGAGCTCCTTGGTAATGTTAATTGTGAAGTCCCCCATGGTACAAACTCCACCCAAAAACTTTACCTGCGAAAGTAATTGAACAATTCAAGCTGGATCACAACATGAAACTTCGTGAACATTGCAGCCTCTTCTTGATCATGAAGAGCTGGTTTTAGCTCGGTGAATGCTAAGACAATTCAATGTCAAAGAAAGAAGTATATTTATCAAATTCAAGTAACGCCAAAGAAGCTGCACTGTAACTAGTAGAGATTAGCATAAGAACATGGCTCTAAGATGAGTAGAGATTAGGATAAGAACATGGCTCTACGATGAGTGAATAAAAAGAGAAACTTGGCACAAAAAGATTCAAAAATTGATCAACTAAAGGAAAGCCCAGGTGGTATGATCTCAATCTGGAGCTGAGCCACAAGCTCATTCCAATTACCAAACCTTTTGCAATGTTAAACCGATCAAACAACCAATTTGAACAGATGATGAAGCTGGGTTCAGATCAGTTTCCAGCGGTTGACTAGAAACAGAAGCAAATAATTCCGGTGAGACTCCTCTCGCATTCAAGCTTTCTCATCTAAATCTAAGGTAGGGAATTTTTCGGGAGAACCAAACAGCCAAAGCAAACAATCTGCATCGAAGCAGCTTGCCAGAGCAAGGCAGCACAGACATGCAAAGAGATGTAATCATGTCGAAAATTCAAGGATTTTCCTGAAGCAAAGTTCTCCTATTGGGACAAAACCCTAACGAGTTCGTATCGATTCAAACCATCAATTCAGAGTAGCGATGACCTAAAACCAAAAGAACCAGGCTTTCAATAGAGCAATCGAATTTTCCTACCTGAAAGAAGAAAAAGTCCGGGAAACCTTTTGCGGCGAGGCTCGATTCACGATCCAACTCACTGCGCCGGGGTACGTCGGCGATTTTCTGGTGTTTGTTTTGGGCGACAAGATGCAATCGCTTAATCTCGAGCTTTCTTTTTTTCTTTTTCTTTTTCTTTTCTGGGAGGAAATCTTCCTTCATACGGCTAATTCTCCCAGAATTTTGCTACAAAAAGTTCGGGCCTGTCTATGATGGTCGTGAAAATTCAGAAAGGCCCAAAATTAGGGGCCCAATTATCCTGCTGACTTTGATCCATATTGAATGATCCAATATTTCAACCGTATTTAAGATGTTCCCAAGGTCAGGTTGTGAATTACTTAGGCGACTTGCAGCCAAAAGCCCAAAACTATTTAGTTTCCAAAGAATGGTTAGTGGGAGCAGCCGAGCAGTGGAGTTTTCACCGGATTATTCGATTACTTTTGTGTTCGGAATAGGATAGTTCATTTGGTAACTTATCATGTCTTGTTTATGTCGTTTCTTTTTTTAAGTGGTTTGATTTTGTTTCATGGCTTCACTGTCATATAATATTGTATGAGTCTTTCTATTACAAATTCTATCCGGTTTTGTTCCCTCTGCGTAAGGTATCTAATGATAAAAAAGAGAGCAGTGGAGTAGGGGTAGGTAACTATTCGGTTCACACTTCACAAGTTCTGGACTGAATTGATTGATGCCCATCCTAGTTTTGAGGGTTAATAATGTAATTCAACTGTTTTTTTTTTGTTCCATATATATCACAATAAATGGACATGGATAGAAAAAAGTTCATATTACAAGCAATTGAATCACGTATAACATGTCCAGCTAAAACTATCCTAGACAGTTAAAAAAAAAATTGTGTCATGATATGAGCAGTCCAATAACAAAATGTAGCACAACTTAGAAGACAAACAACATATTTTTTTAAGCCACACAAACATACATGAAATTTACAAAGGATCAAATGGTCGATCACATCACAGGAGTATCCCGTTCTTTAATTGTTGAACCGTCACTATCATCCCTTCCGACACTGACTTGAGGAAGGTGGAGGTGGATCAAGAAAAAAACATTATAATTGATCAGAAACTCAACAAGATAGAATTTAGAAATCACATCATAATGATATCTAAAATCCATAAGAACAACAAAACATATCACCTCGAGGAAAATCCCTTTCTTCACTTCCTCTTCCATTTAACTTACCAAACACATATGCTGACATAAAAATAATATGGCCAGAGAAAACAGAGTGGGGGACTGAGGAGGAACCATTTCTTGAGTTCATACTTGGCATCATTCCAAGGTGGAAGAAGAAGAGCAACAAGAGTGATAGGCCACAACTCCACAGACCTCTATACATTGATAATGATTTTGCACTTTGGAACAAAAAACAGTAGTACACATAGGTGTCATCTCAGTTCAAATGTTCTACTGAAACAAAATGGGACACTCATCTTTCTACTGAGGAGGGTAAACCAGAAGCAAAGGGCCACTCACCTCCACCAATATACAACCAGAAATTTACCAGAGGGTTAATATATCTGCAGAAAAAAGAAAACCTAATCATTTCCCAGGAGCCTGTGTGTTCTTCTCATGATGTTTCCAGGACAAGACATAATCAACCTGCCAGAGTTTTCATCACAACCCACCTATATATGTCCCCACTGGAGATTCTTCTTTTATTTTCCCACTATATATCCAGGAAATTTTTATTATTTATATTTCACATAAGTTGAAATATTTATTTACCATGGTTATTGCTATATACAAATTAAGGAGAGGAAGAAATGGGAGGTACGAAGACCATGATAAAATTGATACAAACTTCATTATTGACCAAGTACAATGATCACAATACAGTTTCACGAAACACAAACACGGGAAAGAATACCGGAATGATGACCACCTTATGATATTCAATTAAAAGATGTATAGTAATTGGACACTATATGTTTTTATGAAGATGCCACATAGCCATCAAAGGAGATGACCACCCTATATATATGCTATGTATTCTTCCCCCTTTGATGATAATATTGACTCACTGATCAACACCCTTTCTGTGTAGTTTACCTTTGTTTTCTTTCAAAGTCTCACTTGAAAGCAGTTCGCTTCTTCATCATCATCAAAAGATTTGTGTTTTCCTGAAGAGCATCTATATAAGCATATGATCATGAGCTAAAATGAATAAACAAAATAACCCTACAAAAAGGTACGTACCACCTCAGCTTCTTGGCTATAATGTGAGTCAACATTCCACTTTGCCAACCCCTATTGGTTTGTTCTTTCAGGAAATCAAGCAAATTACGAATTCTTTTTGTTATCTGGAGGGATTGGGGCCGTTGCAGGCTTGCAAGCGTGGGTATGATGGCCCTAATTGGCAATGGAAGAAAAAGGAGTGGGCGGTTTAGTTGTAGGGTATCCCTATCTCAATTCTCAACCTACCTTCCCCCCTCCATGTTCTGCCATGCAGGCTGCAGCTTTACTCTTTGTTGCGGACTATGCTGCGCATGACTTCCACGTGCTTGCTTATCAAGTCCTTAGTTGTAAATTAATTACTTTTGGATCCATTTGGATTCAGAATTCACCCTCATTTGGTAAACAGAAAGCGGGTTGTGGTATTTCAGAGTCTACGACAAATGAAGGGCTTGTTTGTTTGTTAGATTTGAAAATGTGGGTTTTGGGTTTTAAAACTCTTTGAATTTAAGATGGATTTGTTGCATTGTGGATTTGGAAAAGTACATTGTTTGTTTAGTTAATTTTTGTTATAGATTATGATGGATTTGTCTCACAATTATGCCTTCTATTATCGAATCTCAAATGAAAAGTGGGATTTGCGAATCCGTGAGGTCCACGAATTTGGATCTAAAAAAAGGGTCCATGGATTCGTGTCTCTTAGCAAACAATGAATTTGTGGCAAGTCCTTGGTGCTTGGAATTTGGGTGTCAAATCCATCACTCAAATCCCACAAACAAACGATTACCGAAATGATGCATAATGTCAATTGAAATACCTCTTCTCCCTAGACATTTCAATTAACTCGCTTTGTCTCTTCTTTAATTTGGTGAAATATTATAACTTTAGAATGTTTTATTCGAACAAGACAATTAGATCCAATTACCACTTTCCGACCTGAAATACCACACAAAATGTCACAATGCAGTTTCAAAATACCACATAACCAAAATGATACATCCCTTCGAGGTTCAAAATGCCGCATCCAAACGATCGGTGTTTGCCATTCGTAGTAATAAGGTTATGTACTATGCATAACCTTTTAGGTCACTCGTAGATGGGTCATGGGGATGCGCTGTTTATTGTCAGCAGCATGTAATTGCTGCTGGCGCAGTTTGTACATTTCGTAGCGCCCCCTGTTGAATCTGACATGATTCTCCGACATCTATAAATTAAACCGGCTACAATTGAAAGCTAGATAGCTTGGAAATCAAACGAAAACTCAAAGCAAATGCTGCTTTCAGAATGACAACTCTTGAGTTGTTTAATCAAGTTAATTACGTGCCTTAATCTCCAATACAAGAAACTGCACATTTCATGTTGTTTAGTTCCCTTATTTTTTTTTTTGTCAATTGTTGTTGGGGGTACAAATGTGGCTCATATTCCTCGAACTATATGTGCTAATTATTATGTTCATTAACTCCGACCTTACTTATCAGTTTCCTTATCCTGTTGGACAAAATCTGACTTCAGTATTTGCTTGCTTCCAAAGAAAATTACCCCCTTCAATTGACACAAGTCATCATCATAATCATCGTTCATGATTATACAATTTCTGAAATACATTGCCCCAGAAGTTTACTAATCTGTCACTATTACTATGATTATATTGATTATCTAGCTAGGTTCCATCCCTCCCCATTTTAACCATGTCATTAGAGAGAATATATAGATTCATTACAAATCATCATTGTACGACATTCTAGTCTTGGTTGATTCTTAGATTGAATTTAAGGACATGTCTGATACAACGTTTATGTCAGCTCTAGTATAAAATTATTGTGCGTTGTGAACTCTGTTTTTGTCATCTTATTTTAACCTATACACGGGAAAAAGAAAAAGATTTTAGTCAAAACAAATGTAAAGCCTGGTCATCATGATTGCAAACTCAATTATGATTATGGATTATTTAAACTTATCATTAGAGGTGGCAAATGGATTGGAGGATTGGTGGATCAATGAATTTGTGGATTCATAGATTAGAATAAATGGATTGCTGGATTGATAGATGGATCCAAATGACATCCAAGCATTGAACCATTATGTAAAAATTTTAAAATTTTATGTACTAAAATGTCATAATAAAAAATGTAGGTACCAAAATATAATTTTCTCATGATAGTTTTCATCTAAATAAAATTTAGGTACCAAAATATAAAATTCAATAAGTATAGGTACTCAACTGTAATTTTCTAAAATTTACAAATCCCTAAATCCAAATTTAAATAAAATATATTGACTTTAAATGCATTAGATTAATTGAATGTTCTAGTGAATGACATTCATAGATTCGAATACTAATTGTCACATCTATTTATAATCTTTAGCCATTTTAACCACGATAGAATTTCAGTTTTACATTTTCCTATATTGGGTTTTGTCTCTTCTTCTCTCACCACCTACCATCAAGTTCCTGAAAACTGTGAATATTGTACACAGTTTACAACCAACTAGCCTAGGTAGAGCTGCAAATGAGCCGAGTCGAGCCGAGTTTTACCTCCGTTGGAGTTCGGCTCGTTTATTAACGAGTCGAGTCGAGTTCGAGCTAGCTTGCTTAATAATTTTAACTCGTATTTGATATATTCATTTTGTATGTCGATACATGTGATTAATGTCAAGATGAAAAAAAGTAATAGTTAAGTGTTCAATATTAACTAATCTCATGTTATACTTTGTGGTATCATATTATTTAGTTAATAAATTTTAACTAGTGAATGTTATGTTATTTCATAGTACCAAAGCAATCTATTATACCTAATTTTTAAAAATTAAATAGGACATATTTGCTCACATAATCTACGCGTTAAACTTCACATCGGATGAGATATATAAGTTAAAAATCCGATAAATTATCAAAATCAAACTCATATAGATCAATTCTCTCATAAGTCGTTAGTCGAGTTGGCTCTCTAACCACAATATTGAGA